AACCCTTCGTTTGCAAATTTCTTTATGAAGATACATGGACTGATGGGATCATTCTTATAACCTTCTCTGACTAGGTACTCGCTTAATCTATTGTACCACATGCGTCCACTTTGTTTCAGTCCATAAAGCGATTTGTTCAGCCTTATGCAGTATTGGTCTCGAGACCCTTTCTTATCTTTATCTTTGAGCTCAATACCCTCTGGTAATCTCATATATATCATCCAGTGGACTTATATAAATATGCAGGCATTACATCCATTAGCCGCAAATCAAGTCTTTTTCTTTATATAGCCAGACTTAGCAAAATTTAAATGTCTTAGCATCCACCACAGGGGAGTATGTTTCTTCATAATCTATCCCCGGTCTTTGTGAGAATCCTTGTGCTACAAGCCGTGCCTTATATCTCACGATTTCATTATTCTCATTTCTCTTCTTCACAAAGACCCATTTGTGTCCTACTGGTTTTTACATCGAATGGTGTCCTTAAGGTCGGACCAAACTCATTCCTTTTCTTAATGATTCTTAGCTCCACGTTTTATGGTCTTGTACCATTTAATCAATCAAGTCTTTGAGTGCACTCTAGTATAGACGTGGGCTCCTGATCCTCATTTATATTCATAAATTCAAGTGCTACCTTGCATGCAAAATCATCTTATGTCGACATTTCTTATATGTTCCATTATGTTCCAGACATGATATAATCGATTTGAGATTTATTATGGTCAGGACCTTTAATACTTTGCAGCTTGGCGTCCCAAGCTACATTATATGGTACCTGTACCTTAGAGCCGGCCGGCCTTATCTCCATGTCTGGGATGGTTTCCTTAGTAACCTCGGATTCCTATTGCACCTTTCTTTGATTTTCGAGGATTTTTATCTTTGGAACCTATTGGTCTACCACGTTTCTTTCGTGTGTTAGACTCGGTAGCAATTTCATTGATTCGCTTTTGGATATCAATACGTACTGGTGCATTACAAGCTGGTATGTACGTTTTTGTAACTTTCTTTGGGTCAGCAAAGGAATCTGGCAATTGATTAGCTAGCTTTTCAAATGTATAATCTTATGGACCTCTGATTCTCATGCCAGAGTCCGAGGATCTTGCCAATTTAAGGATGTTTGATTTCATTATATTTCTTTTATTGCTTTACCCAGCTTGTTCGTCTCTCCACCTATAGTAGGAAACTCGGATTCATTAAAATGACAATCCGCGTATCTAGCCTTAAATAGATCACCCGTAGTTGGCTCTAGATACTTAATAATGGTGGGAGAATCAAATCCAACATATATTCCCATCCTCCTTTGAGGTCCCATCTTTGTTTCTATGTGGTGGAGCAATCGGTACATATATGGCACACCCGAAAGTCTTTAGATGGGATATGTCTGGCTCATGACCCATAAGTAATTGGGATGGTGAATATCTATGTTCACTAGATGGCCTTATGCGTATAAGTTCTGATGCATGTAAAACAGCGTGTCCCCAAGCGGCTACTGGGAGCTTCGACCTCATGAGTAATGGTCGAGCTATCAATTGAATTCGTTTAATGAAGGATTCCGCTAATCCATTCTGTGTATGTACATGTGCTACGGGATGTTCCACACTTACCCCCATGGACATACAGTAGTCATTAAACGCTTGGGACGTGAATTCACCGGCATTGTCTAGACGTATAGTCTTAAGCGGAAAATCTGGAAAGTGGGCTCGCAGTCTTATTATCTGGGCCAATAACCTAGCAAACACTTGGTTTCTAGTAGATAGGAGACAAACATGCGACCATCTTGTCGATGCATCAATGAGGACCATACATATGTCTCCTTGTATCCTTTCCAGAAATTTTAAGGTCTCTTTATTTACCTTAGCCGGTGATGGCCTTATAATGAGTTTCCCTTGTGAACATGCTTCACACGTGAGATTCTTAGGGATAACTCTTTTCTCTCTTAGGGTGTGCCCCTTTGAATTAGTTATTAGTTTACGCATCATACTATGACCCGGATGGCCAAGCCGGTCATGCCATAAAGTGAATTTCTTGATGAACTCTTTGTTCATTGCCATATTAGCTTCGATCATATCGATTTTAGCATAGTAGAGACCAGTGGATAATGCGGGTATAGTCTCTTAGGACTTTCTTATGTCCTTGGGTGATCTCAATTATATTTAGGAATTCTTTGTTCCCTTCACCCTTTGTTTCAATATGGAAACCATTCAATCTTATATTTTTTGAAACTTGACAAGCTCCTCTTCGAGCTGGGTGAATATAGGGCATCGCTTATTTCAAGATGCGTGCCCTTTGATAAAAGTATATGGGCTTGACCATGGCCCTCAATAAGACTAGCTATACCCGCTATGGTGCTAATATTGGCATTTTTCATTATGAGATTTAGGAAAATATCTCTTATCTTTTGTGTGGCTCCACTATCCACCACAATTATGTTCTTGTCCTCGGCCATTTCTTATATGGACAAGAATCATGTTCTAAACATAAAATAATATAAAATAAATTCAAGCAAATAACAATCAATGAACACATAAAATGCAAAGAAAAACATAGAGGTTCTGATGTCGAAGTAAGATTTATCAACTTGATTCTTTTATGCAATCAAAAGTTTCATACTCTATTAGATCATCTTGATCATGTTCACCATCTTTATATACCAAATGGGCTTTAGGATTCTTCCCTTTTACACTCTCTTGATAGAGGTCACAACGATGTTTGGAAGTCCTACATATCTTAGCCCAATGGTTTCCCATTCCATATCTATGGTATACTCATTTGGTCGAGTGTTGTGGTTTGGAAATACCACATCGTCCTCGCCCTCGACCACGGCCGGAATTGGGTCTACATCCACGGTTATAGTAGTTCCTATGGCCGGATGAGTTATAGTGGCCACAACCACGTCCTTTCAATACCACATCTATGGCATACTCATTTGGTCGAGTGTTGTGGTTTGGAAATACCACATCGTCCTCGCCCTCGACCACGGCCGGAATTGGGTCTACATCCACGGTTATAGTGGTTCCCACGGCCGGATGAGTTATAGTGGCCACAACCACGTCCTTTCCATCCACCACGGTCACGGCCGTGTGGTCTATCACTTTAGACGTGGTTAGATTCTTTGGATTCTTTCTTATCCTCTGCGGCCTTATTGGCATTAGGTAATGGGGTTAATCTATGAGGTCGTAACTCACTGTTTTTATCTGTAAGTCATTATTTTTATTTTTATTTTCATCTAGCAATAGACTCATTCACGGACTTATAGTCCTGGATTATGAGACTCTCAATAAGATGGTGGCTAATATTGCCTTGTATCTATCTTTCTCTCTTGGCATTCTTACCTTATTAGATACATTCACCAAGTCCTTTTGACTTTAGGATAATCTTAGTATCCATTGCCCATTTTAAAATAATTATCTCCTAAGAAATTTAGGGCAGTAAAGTACAAGTTGTAATTCAACATCTACAAGGAAAAGTTTTGAGTCAAAATCATGTAATCGTTAGTGTCATGCGGTATTTGAGACCGAACCATGAATCGATTTACTTAGGGATTTGACTTTCCTCTTTTGCTTATGATTAGATTTCCTCTTTTGATTAGGATTAACTTTTCCTTTTCCTTTTAAGATTTACTTTCCTCTTTACTTTAGGATTAATTTTCCTATTTCACTTATGATTTTAGATTTTAAGATTTCCTATTTTAATTAGGATTTGGAAATTTTCTATTTCTTAAAGTTTTCCTATCTTGAATAGGATTTATGAATTTCCTAATTTAATTAGGATTTAGAGTTGTTAAGATTTCCTATTATCCCTAAGATTTAGGGTTTTAAGGTTTCCTATTTTTATTTTAAGATTTTAGGGTTTTAGGTTTTAGGGTTTTAAGATTTCCTATTATCTAGGGTTTCCTATTTTATTTAGGATTTTAGGTTTTAGGGTTTTGAGATTTCTTTTAGGATTATCTTTTCTAAGTTTTCTAGGGTTCATGCAATTTTAGTTTTAGGGTGTTAAGCATGTAATCAATCAAAGGAGCAAACAATCTAACAACCTAAACAATCTCAATCAAGCCGATTTAAACTTATGGAATTTTTTGGATTAGATTCGTTTTAGGTTTTAGGTTTTTAGACCTTTAAAGTTTCGGTTATTAGCTTATGTATTTTCGTTTTGCGATTTTAGGTTTAGACAATTAAAACTTCTCTAGCAACTTAGGCGAGTTTAGCTTAAGCGATAATCAACTTTTTCTAGCAACCTAAACGAGTCAAACAATCGAGCAAACAAGCAATCGGATCAAGCAAGCAATCAAATCATACAAGCAAAGCAATCACTTAATCAATCATCATTCGTTTTAGGGTTTCTCTTTGCTTAACTTTCAAGTTCAATTGTTGGTTCTTTAGCTTTAGGGTTTTGATGTTACCTTTCACCTTATGGGGTTGTATGGACTAGAACCGGGAGCTAAAGACCTCGGTAACTCACGCTGCTGCAACGAACCGCAAACAGTACCACGATGAACAGTACCGCGATGAACAGTGCCGCGATGAACAGTGCCGCGATGAACAGTGTCGGCGATGAACAGTACGGCGATGAACAGTACCGAGATGAACAGTGTCGGCGATGAACAGTGCCGCGATTTTTAGGGTTAGGGTTTTAGGGTTTTCGTTAAGAGCAAGTCGTGCTGATAACGTGTTGTAAACTGTGTTGTTCTATTGATTAATGAATGAGATTTCGATACATATATATACATGATGAGGGGAGACAAATCCCCATTGGGCTAGTAAACCCTAAAGCCCAAAAGCCCACTAAGTACAATATAGGCCGTCATAAGGAGAATCTTCAAGAACATGGGCATGGGCCTTCTAGGACATGGACATGGGCCTTCTAGAATATGCATAAGGTCCACGGTTATGGAGTCCATCCAACATGTGGTTTATAACAAGATTTGACTTCATTGTTTTATTATTACTAGGTCTCCGGACCCCGCGAGTCTAAAATTAGTAAATTTCAAGGTATAAGTAAAATTAGTAAATTTCAAGGCGAAGAAAAACAGAATTAATCTTACTATCAAGTGGACTTCCATATTTCTTTATTTCTTCTTGGGAAGTAGGATCGAAGAGGTTCATATTTGTTGTGAGGATTTTTGTCCTGAGTTTGAGCTTTGTATAAATGTCTTCATCAGCAATCTCCATGTTTTCTCTACTCAATGTCAGCAGAATATCTATACTTGATCGACTACTATTGTCCCTTATTTCCTGTTTACAGAAGAAAAAAAACTCAGATCAAATAAAAAATCGATTATAACTTGAAAAAAAGGCAGTTTAAAGGCATCTGAGAGAGGAAGTATTAATCGTAATACATTGATGATTATACCTTGATAAACTTTTCTTCTGTCTTCAAGACATGCAAGAACTTCTTGTAATTCGACAGATGCTTGATAGGTAGCTCGGTGATGCGGATGGTTGAGTTTTGAATGTTCTTCTCGAATACACCTTTTGTAATGAACCCACCTTCTGTTTCCGTGATCGTTCCTTTAAATCCTCTATAAGATGGAACCATAGGCTCAAGAGCCTCACCACTCATTAGCCGCATTATGTTTTTTATAACGTCTTTAGTGCTATATTTTGGGACGAATGTACTCCACCCAGTTCCAATCCCTTCACATCCATTGACAAGGACAGTTGGAATGATAGGTATGTACCTAAGACATCATTAGCATATTAAGTTAACGAAATTAGTCTTCAAAAACAAATGTAGTCTACTTCAACTTGAGTGAGATGGAAAAGAAATAATTTGTTACCATTTCGGCTCTATCATTCTTTGATTGTCTCCATCCATCCAGGCAAGAAGGACATCATCATCTTTGTGAAACAAGGCTCTTGTAGCTGGAGAGATCATAGTGTAAAGGTATCTTGCACTTGCTGCATCTTGTCCCCCCTATATATACACTATGATGAGTAAGAGCTTAGATAAATATGAGAACTGCAGTATTCCTATCAGCAATGTACTTACAAAAATTTGCGAGCCAAACTGTCCCATTGGTAAAAGGAGATTAACATTGCTGCTGCCAACATAATCTTGTGCCATCTTGATGATGGTACTGGCAAGGCTTTGTTCTCCATGGTTGTAATCCGACCTATCTATTGCATGAGCCGTTAATACAGAGACTTTGCATTCTGTCTTCCAATCTCTAGCCAATGAACAAAAGAGCGTCTTTCTCTGGCCCGGTTTAAGCCCATCAATCATCTCGGGAATGGACCTTCGATTGTCTTCTTTGGAGAACAAGATGAGTTCTTTGTTGATAAACTCAGAGTAACGGTCAAGGTGTGTGTCAGACCGTATGGAAAATGGTTGACATCAGTACAGGAAGATATATCTTTAGGATAACTCAAATATATATCTTGCATACCGTATAGTTCTTGAGCCAAGTTCTTCGATCTTCTGGCTTATCGCTATTGAATGCTAAATCGATAGCTTTTCCATCATCTTCATTCTGCCAGAGGAAATCCCTTTTGTGAATACTAATATTTTCAAAATAGGTCTGTGCTTCCTCATCCGAACTTGTACCCAAACCCTGGGAAAAAAAATGAGCAATTAAATAGTGATATATTGCATTGTACATGAAGTACACTATTTATACAGAGATTGTAATTCCCTACAAACTAAGGAAAGACAATATTTACAAATATAGGCAATCACATCTCAATTACAGTATCTCTAATAATCAATACATAATAACAATTAGTACGCAGACAATAAAGTGTTCTCTTAAAAGTTACAACAGAAAACGAACCTTGTAGGTTTTGTAGGTCCATCTTGGTATATCATTAGGTAAGAGATTATTTTTCCATTTTTTTAACTCAGGCATTGAGAAAAATGTCTCTTTTTTTCCATCCTCGTGCGTAGCCTGATAGGTTGAGGGATTCCTTATATTCATGTCAAGCACAATAAGATAACATATTACAATGAAATGATCAACGTATTCTTTTACCTTCACTATTGGTGTTACAAACTCACATAGGAAGGATGGATCCCTTTCGAGTAACTCCGGCCACATTACATGGAATAAATTGATTATTAGACCTTTAATATGAAATCCATCGTGATCCTAAAATAGAATTTTTTTTTTTTGTCAAGACACACAATATGTAATATGCTGAACTTGAGGGTGAAAGATAGAGAGTACTCAGTAGATACCTGATCGGTCATGATCATGACATGGCCATATCTTAGATTGCCATACTCCTTTCCATTCTCTAATCCGAGAATAGTCTTTAACTGTTGAATTTTCTTGTTTTTATTTATTTTATCTTCACTGGCACCCCTCACATTCATCAACTTTCCTTGGAGGGGAAACACACCGTAGAGTTCACGTGACTCGTCACTCAGGAAAGACAACCCCGTCATCTGAGTATAATGAGTGTTAGTAGTAAATAGTTAGCCTAATTCAAAAGAAATTGAACACTTACAACGAGAGTCTTTGCAGAATCCCCCTCTGTTAGAATCAATGTGCAGAGTTTGGAGTCTTCCCCTCCTGCTTTGTTAGCATCAACTAATTTTTCGATGCCTAGGTCAAGATCTTTGCCATGCTTGGAAGTTGCCCATGAAAGCAACTGCTTTACCATCCCAGGATTCTCATCTAGAAGAAACATAAAACACAAAAGGAAGTAAAGGTTACATCTGATCCAACAAGGCAAATTAAAGATGTGCATATTTCACTGGTCCAACAAGGCATATTAAACATGTGCATACCTTTCTTGAGAATATCTTTTGAAAGTTTGCATTTCGACCCAAAACTGCTCTCTGGAAAAATCAATGTTTCCTTCAGCCAGTCAAAGACTGGATGATCAATAACACAATTGACAAACACCCACATGTGTTTCTTAACATTATCCGTCTCCACTTTAGCATAGTTCATCTTTTTCTTCACAGAATTAGTAATGAAATCTATGATTTGAGTGGTCACATAATCGACGTGTGGACCACCTTTGGTTGTGGCTATGGAGTTGACAAAGCTAATCTGAAAATAGAGATATGAGATGAATCATGAGAAAACAGAGATATGAGATGAGTAATTGTTCTCATGAAGAAGGTAATCTCCAGTCAAATGTAGCATACCTGCTGAAACTTGTCCTTACTTAAGCTCACACATATCTCCCATTTGTCATTTACTTTCACAGTCATCCTAATCACAGCAAACTCAGAATATGAGAACCATAAATGTAATCAATAAATATAATGATGAGCAATATATGAAAAGGATGATAGAACAGTTCACCTTGGTAGAGGATCATTCCTTGAACTATTGGCTCCAAGGTATAAATCAACATAATCATTGAATGAGTTTACTTCAAGTAGTGTGTCGTTAATGGTTACTTTCACAGTCTCTCCCAAACACGCAGCACACTCTACTATTCGTTTTTCCATTAGAGCTACTGTATCCTTACCAATTTTACTTATGTGAAACATCTCCAAGTCAGGTTCAAATGTAACCTCTGTCCATTTATCAATGGATTCGCATGTGGTCACAACGGGAGTTGACTTTTCTTTCATGTTTCGTGTGAACACCTGAATACCACCAGATAGTTTAATATACTAACATTGATACTAAATACCACAAAATAGGTTAATATCTAATTAATCAGACGATTTTTTCATGTTCATACCTGTTTAAATTTGTTTCAATGGTGAATCTAGTGGAGAATATGTTGGTGAGCTTGGCGCCATATCCGGTTCTGCCACCAGTGGTATTGTCATCAAAGTGACTACTGGTCAAGAGACAACCAAAAACCAATTCAGGGATATAAACATTTTTCTCCTCAAGCTGCGCCACGGGAACTCCATTTCCGTTGTTACGGACGCTGATTGTATTCTGGTCAACATCGATCTTCACGATGATAGAATCCATAGACGGATCTGTACGTTTATTGTCAACCGCATTCATGAGTATCTCCTCAAAGATTTTGCAAAGGCCAGGGACATAAGTCGTTCGCCGGTAAACCATCTCGCCCTTTTCAAATACCCAGAGCGGCTGGGTGTGCTCCTTAATCGAACCTATGTACGCGTCAGGACGGAGCAAAATGTGCTCATGCAGCGACTTCTCCTGATACATCTCTTCGATCGTAGGGGGCTACGACCAAGTTTCTGGAAATTGATTGCTCGAGTAATTAACTCAATACACTTAACCGTTAGGCAGTATATTCGAGGTCGATCCACAAGGACCAAAGATACTCTAAGGATTTTCGAGACTTGTTCTTAGCTAAAACTAAAAAGTTGTTTTGTTTGAGTTTTCCGAATTGTAAAATAAAAATGCAATTAAATTAAACGATTTAAGTTTCAAGATTTAAAGACATTAGGCATTAGGGTATTTCAGAGATCAATAAACAATGGAAACATGGGACAAGGAATTCAACAATTACGAACCGTTCTTGAACATGAACACAACTTAGACTAATTCTCTTTCAAGACATTAATCACTAAATTTGACTACTCGATTACTAAACTTTCGCATGTAATTTCCTAGTCAAATTCGCATTATCAAACAAGTTCATTTAGTTCACAATGCGTCCTAACTTCAACTTTCGTTGGCTAGAAATACATTGCTCAATTCACATTCTTTCAGGCATTCTATCGAACACTTTTGATGCATAGAAAAACCTAGGTTCTACAACAGGGTGATCAATCCTATTCTAGCATTAAGAACATGTGAATCAAAGAACCTAGAGAATGAGAATTCCAAACAACAATTAATCCATTAATCTATCGAATCTCCTAATTAGAACCCTAACACCTAATTAAAAGACTACTTACACATAGCAACAGAAACAAGACAAATAGATGAAGAAGACATAATTGAATTGCAATGAAAATAAGAAATAGGGTTTAGAAATCTTCTCCAAATTGTCAAAGAGGATGAATCTCTAGAATCCCAAGGTTGCTTACAAGAGAAAAGTCTCAGAAAAATTGCAGAAAGAAAACGTGAAAAGAAAATTAGGTCTCTGGGGTTTTTATACCCAAGTACAAAAAAGGAAGACAAAACCCGGTTTAGGAAAACCGTCTCGGGGCGTCGAGGCTCGGATCGATCGATCCCATGGGTGGATCGATCGATCCAGATATGCTGAATCACGGTCTTGGACGGATGAGGGTTGGATCGATCGATCCCATGGGTGGATCGATCGATCCAGAAATGCTGAATCAATTGTCTTGGACGAATGAGGGTTGGATCGATCGATCCCCTCCTGGGATCGATCGATCTCGAGCGACTGGAACTTTTGGCTTCATCGTCACAATTGGGATCGATCGATCCACGCCTTGGATCGATCGATCCCCAGCTCCTGGTGATCTCTTGTACCGTTTCTCCATTGTTTTAGCTCCGAATAGGCTCAATCGTGCACAAGATGCTCCGAATCCAGCTCGAGCACCTATAGCCTGCAAAGGACTCAAGACACAACCGAAAAGGCACAAAAGACGGACTTTGACACGATAGATGACTCAAAACATGGACTAAACCAAGACTCGAAACCGTTAAAAACGCAACACATCACTCCCCCCGACTTAAATCTTTGCTTGTCCTCAAGGAAAGCAGAAATCCTTATCAAGAGAAGAGGTTTGAAAACACGAGAACTCACATTTTCTTCGGGATCATGTTCTATCAATTGCCTGCAAACCACTATCACACAACTCATCAAACCGTACTAGACTGTACTTCGCCATAACCGTAGCAACAAAATTAAGTCCCGAGATCTAAAAGAACTTTCAGAGTCAGATAACTTAACCTTTTAACATTCATTAGCAGTGGCGTGTATTCTCACAAAGGGGATATCGAACACGCTATGGGCTTGGTAAAAAGGGCTACTATATGGTGGCTCAAAGTGTTTCGGGTTCTCGAACAGTATAAACGGATGCATGACATTATGCGAAATCACAGTGAGACACAGACCAACTAGGAGGTACATAGCTTCCCTTAAGCTCGGATCAAATCAACCAAGACACTACCCCCAATCAAATCAAAGTGTACCCTTGATGCTTATCAATATAACCAATAATAACTCGACATTTCCGGTTCCAATCACTCTCCTTTCCCGCTCTTTCTTTTTATTTTCGTTTTCTTTTTTTTTTTTTTTTTTTTTTTTTTTTTTTTTTTTTTTTTTTGATGAAGCGGGGGAGTGGAACCGGTGTCTCACAAAAATCTGCATCAAGAACAATCGCAAACAACAGCATATACCCATGAATATAACCTCTAAACCACAATGGCTCAATCTCATCACATATCGACAACCAGTAAACTACGACTCACTATCCTAACAAAAGGAAAGCTATGTCGGTCCGTATACTCCGTAGTTTTCGCACATGGATGCATATCATGATGATCATATAAGAATGCATGAGGTTTCAAACAATGGGTGGGGAAACAGGTGTGGTACTAGACTAAAAATGAGTCTAGCCATTCAGAGTTAGCAAATAGTGGTAAAAGTGATGCGAACAAAACTCTGAATGTATGATCCATTACATGATTCTCAAGCCCCTAAGTGAGATAAATTAAGTCCAGATTAAGTTCAAGTATATAAGATTAAGCTCAATTCATCCAAATTTCAAAGAGATAGGGACTACTATAAAGCGATCAAGTGATGGATTTTCCTGAACTTCCAAGTCATCAGCTAGTAAAGCTAAAATGGTACCAAGGTAATTAAATCAAACATGGTGCAATTCCCTAAGAAAAGATCATAGTTCTCAGACAACATTTTGACTCAATAAAAGACACGATTTTGACTCGATAAAAACGAACTGACTGACTCAAACGAAAACATCAAAAGAAACAACCAAAGCAAACTCGATTAGTAGACAAATGACAACCTCCCCCCGACTTGCTTCACACCGACTCGGTGTGAAAACAATTCGAAGAAATGATGCCATACACACTCAAAAGAAAAAAAAAATGAAAATGCGAAAAAGAAAAAGAGAAAACTTACTTGGGATACATTATGGGTTGCCTCCCACCAAGCGCTTGTTTTAGGTCATAAGCTTGACCGCTCAACACAAAATATTAATCATAAGAATCAAAAGGTTGTGCCAGTGGACCTTTTGTCCTTCTCTTGTTAGTGAAAGAAATGAGATGTGCCAAGTAACACACAATTATCCATGGTAAAGAGATAAAATTCACATCAAGAAAAATTACTACAAATGTAGCATATACTTTGAAATATTCCTTGATGGTTGAATGCTCATGAGGATGAAATGCATTTGGAGGAAAAATAAAGTCAATTTCCTGTTTACACGAGGGTTGAACAAAATAATCAACTTCATCGCCATTAATCTCGTATAGCACAATATCTCCATCCATATAATCAACCTCAGGATCTTCATTCTCATGCAAAATCTTATCAATATCAAGCACAACTCCTAGGAAAGATTCATCAAGAAGAGATCTAGATATTTCAGGCATTGAAAACTTAAACTTGAGATCATGAACATTCAAAGCACAATGATATTCAATATCAAAACATATTTCATGGTAATCCCTAGCAAGTTTTGCTGCTCTTAAAGTATCTAGTCGTTGAGACTCACATATCAAATCAAAACATTCATCAATGATCATGGAAGTATGCAAACTAGAAGTCACATATTCAATGCATGACATTTGAATATCCTCAACATCATGAATTTCAAGGGTTGAAACGCATGTACCTTCTAGTTCGCTTGGTGGAACCCAATATATTACCTTTTTAAGCGCATGAGCTTCTTGTTCTTCATAGAATGTGACTTCTCTTCCTTCACATGCTGCCCGGTGTGATAAGAGATTCAACCGGATCAAAATCGCTAAATCACTCCTTACCAATGTCGGATGTTCGTTGTGAAGTTCATCCAACTTCACTTTTTGTTCCGGTGTAAGAACACTCTCATCAAATGGTGGCTCCACATATGGCTCATCCTCTTCTTCTTGTAGCCAATCATTATATTCCATAGCCAACACCTAAAAGAAAAACGAGTGTGATAGTTAGTAATAAAAAAAAAAAATGCTTTAGACTAAAAACTAATCCTAAATCCTTAGGTAACGCAATTGGTCCCCGGCAACGGCGCCAACTTGATTGCTCGAGTAATTACCCGATACACTTAACCGCAAGGTAGTATATACGGGGTCGATCCACAAGAACCAATGGTACACTAAAGACTTCCGAGACTCGTTCTTAGCTAAAGCGGAAAGATTGTTTTGTTTTGGGTTTTCAGAATTGTAAATAAAAATGCAATTAAAATAGACGATTTAACTTCAAGATTTAAAGACATTGGGCGTTAGGATATTTCAGAGATCAACGAATAATGGAAACATGAAACCAGGAATTCAGTAATTAAGAACCGTTCTCGAACATGAACACATTTAAACCAATTCTCTTTCAAGACATTAATCACTAAATTTGACTATTCGATTACTAAACTTTCGCATGCAATTTCCTAGTCAAATTCGCATTACCAAACAAGTTCATTAAGTTCACAATGCGTCCTAACGTCAACTTTCGTTGGCTAGAAATACATTGCTCAATCCACATTCTTTCAGGCATTCTATCGAACACTTTTGATGCATAGAAAAACCTAGAATCTACAACAGGGTGATCAATCCTATTCTAGCATTAAGAACATGTGAATCAAAGAACCTAGAGAATGAGAATTCCTAACACAATCAATCCATTAATCCATTGAATCTCCTAATTGGAACCCTAAAACCCAATTAGAGAACTACTCACACATAGAGAAAGAGAAAAGACAAATAGATATGAAAGAAAACATGATTCAATAAAATAGAAAAGGAATAGGGTTTAGAAATCTTCTCCAAGTGTCAAGAGGATGGATTCCTTTGCCCAAAGTTGTTTACAAACCAAAGAACAAAGTTTAGAACTCAAAAAAGTCAAAGATGATGTCTCAAAAGTCGAGCTTAGGGTTTTAAAACAATAGGAGACGAGCCGGGTCGGATCTGGAGTGACTCGGGTCAAATCTGGGCCAAAAATACGTCTGGGGAAGGGATCGATCGATCCAAAGGAGGATCGATCGATCCAGCAGTGTCTGGAATGTTTCTCATCCGTCAGGGAAGTGGATCGATCGATCCACAATGGGATCGATCGATCTGGAGCTTCTGGTCTTCAGTTCTGCAACTGCTTCAAATGCTCGCCAGAATGACCTGTCTTCACTAATTCGGGTATAACTGTTGAATGCACCGTTAGATTTCCTTCAAATCACATGGAACCTCAAGCTAACATCTTCATATAGCTGTTGTCAAAATTTCAGAAAGATCTAACGGTGGTAAGTCTTCCATCGGAGGCCAAACGTTTGATACTTCTAACCGACACTGCATCTCCAAATGTGTGTTTTTATCCCAAAACATCTCGTTTTCCTCCGAAGCAACCTAAAACCTGTAAAGACTCGATAAAGGACTAAAAGACTCTAAAAAAAAACTTTGACTCTATAAAATATATGATCTAGGAAAGAAAACAAAGACTCAAAACCGATAAAAACACAACATATCAGAAATGCACAGACAAAATGAAGAATAAGCTTTGATTTGGTTTATCCAGCTCAAAAACTGTAAGTAAGAAGCACAATACCTTTGAATACAAGCAGTAGAATAGAGAAACGGTGAAGACTTAAACAGTTGGGAGAAAGACAGATTAAAAATAGAAACAATGCTTCTTTTTGTATTTTACTTATCCTACAGTGGAGAAAGTTTGTTTTTGCTGGCAATATATCGATTATCCAGATCCAACGATTAGGTGATGCCACGTGTAGCTAAGAAGCTTTGTGCCCAAGCTGTACGGTCGATTCTCCTCTTTTAGTGCACACGTTTCTTGTGTCTTTTACTTTGGGCTTTTAAGTTCATCTCCGAATGTGTTTGGGCCTTATTCTCTTTTCTTTTCTGAATGTGTTTGGTCCAACTCACTGTTTTAATCAAACAAGCCAGAAACGGTAACAATTTTACCCACGGAACAAAAGAAACGTTACCAAAAGATTCACATCCATTTTTCTATTTACAAACGGCAAAAAAGGACAAAATCGACACAAGACAAATAATTTTAAATTTCCGATTAGTGCTTTCACAGAAAAATGATCAAAACCATTTTGTCAAAAATGAATTCCAACAGAAACTACCTCGTCTTGTCTGAAATGAAAAGTCTAGACAAAACTAATAAAAACAACAAAACAAACTAAACGAAATAAGAAAATCCACAAACCGCCTTTCCCTTATTTAGTTACCTTTTTCATCGAGCCTTGTCATATTTTCTTCAAAAAATCGAACTAAAATAATTGATCAAGAATTTAAAATTAATACAGTAAAACCACTATAAATTAATAATGATGAAACCATAATAGTTTATTAATATATAGTAAATAATTAAATAATTATTATTTATTATTTATAACATAAATTAATATTTATTAATTTAGAAACAGACTTATTTCAATTGTTAAAATTTTAGAAAATATGAATTTGAGACTATCTTATCTAAGTAAAGTTAATGTTTTGGATGTTATAAATTTTATAGTTTTAGACTTGGAATTTTAATATTTAGAAAAACTCTTTCAAGAATAAAATAGGCGATAAATTACAAAAAAAAAAAAAAAACTATAGATCGCTTATACAAACGATATACGTAAATTCAAATTTATGAATAATGACCCTATTGATCGTATTTTAACAGCTATAAGACTATCAAATTGTAAGTGATGTATATTCAAAAATTTAAAGCTTACAAAAAAGTTTAGCGCTTTTATTACATAGTTATATATATTACAACACTATAGTTTAAATACACAAAATAACAATTGTTTTATAAAATAAAAGTTAGAAATGAACTCTAGCCAAATTTCAATTTTTGTAACTTTTATAGAAAGTTTAAATCACAAAATAGTATATTAAGTTCGTGACATTTTTCTTCTTTATATCTTTCTAGTATTCCTCGCACTTGAAATGCTAAGGCAAATAGTCTAGCTCGCTATTCTAAATCTTTATATTCTGAAATTTCTTTTGTAAACTATTTGTTTTTAGATTGGACCACCAATCACGGAGTAACTTTTTAATTAATATGTGGTTAAAAAAAAAAATAGTATATTAACTTATATATATATGTATGTATATACACATTAATATAATTATTTATTTATAATATTAACGAAACTATATATTTACATAGAGAATCTTAACTTATTATTTTATTGAATTTTGTTAATTTTTATATTGGCCTTGCTTTAAGTTATAGAATTTTTCTACGGTATAAGGTGCTCAAAAACTGTGGAAGCCCTCTTGGCCCATTGGTTGACTAAGGGTTAATTAATGCTTCTACACCAAGATGTCTGGGGTTCGAGTCCCAGGTATTGCGATTTATTAATAAATTTGCAGATTAAAAGAGGCAAGTGTGCATGAGATCTCCAGCGAAGTACAATTATAGCCGTTCGCCAGGATTCTACGCAGAGAGAGAAGTGTCGTCAGGTCGTGGATCATTGAAGGTGTCCGTCAAGAGCATGGAGAAGGAAGGGTCGTCTGTCGTGGATCTAATAAGGGTCGGAAGGAATTGTCCGTTGTAGAATCGTCTATGTAACAGTTCTCATAATTTGTAATAAATAATAAATCTAGACGTAAAAAAAAAAAAAAAAGTTGCTCAAAAACTAAACATAAAAACAGAACAACCATGTTTGTCTCCTTATCATTTCTTTTTTTTTTTTTTTTTAAATAAAGAGGAAAACCGAGAAAGATATCAACTCGGTTTAGATTGTCGGTTCTTTCAGTTCAGAATAAGATTTTGATCCGGTTTAGATCAGTTTAATCAACCTCAAAAGGATCATACGCTATTCCTCTCGTAGTCTCTTATCTTACACAACCAGTTGAAGGATTTGGAAATGAAAGCAAAGCTGTACAACTCAAGCAAAAGGTGCAACTGAGACTATCAATCTCAACTATACATATACTCCGAGTCTCCAACAAAGCATTGGGAGGAATCTGCAAACCCGATTCCAGCTCCAACAAATATGGTGACTGTGAAAAAGAGAGAATGGCTTCTAGGTTACATCAAACTTTATTCAGGAGTTTCCATCGGGAGAGTTATAAAGTCATAACACATCTCCTACTCAGTAATTCAAATGATAAACCTACTTAAATTCAACACATTATTGACACATTAGAAACTAAGAAAAAATAGGAACGATATATATAATTCATAGATATAAACCGTATAGAAACAAAAAAAAATTACAAGAAATACTGATGACAATTAATACAAAACAATAGCAATTGCAACAACAATTCAGAGAAACAGAGAGGATTACAACAAATGTTGACTCAGAAGCCATCCTATTATTCTAGTAACACAGATTATTCAGTCAGTGACCTCTTATACTTATTCAGTTCCATCTAAAGAGTTAAGCTCTTCCCGAGCTTCGATCCAAAAGGAACACACACGCATTCCAAATACAAATTATATATTACCAAAAAGAACACAACACACATGTGACGCATTCATCAAACAGTGGCAGCAAGAACCTTGAGTATCTCACATGTAGGGATAGTAAGCAAATGATCAAACCACTCAACTTTCCCCCAAATTTCACCACTTTTGCGCTTTTCAAGCGTAATCTCTGCACACCAAATCATCTTCGTAAGGCCGTAAAAATTAAAAGGCCACTCCTCGAGCCACAAAACCGCCATCTTTCCACCATAATCAGCCAATCTTATCCCTTTTTTATCAGAAGGGAACTCAGGTAGTCCTACCAAACCCTTCAACTCTCTCCAATCTCTTGCCTCAGTGTCATACCAAACGATATTTCCGTGATCGCAAGAGTACAAAACATTATGTATCTCGCAGTAAGATTTTGAATAAATATACCTACCAATCTGTTTTTCAACTCTGTCCCATCTACCTTCCTTGGAATTGTAAGCAACCACATCGTCGTCACGCATTACGTGGAACTTTCCGTCAAGACATGCAGTGTTGCAGAAAAGGCCGCCAAATGTCTCGCTGCAAGGGATTGGCTTAGGATCCCAAGTCTGTGTCTTTGTGTCGAACACCTCCATCAAGTTCTTATAGGAATTCGAATAGCCATCCTTACAGCATCCTGCTACATATATCTTTTGATCAAGTACGCTAGCAGAAAATGTCGTCATCTTCATTTGCAAGCAAGGAGCATCGTGCCATGTGTGAGAACAGCAATCCAGTATGGAGATGGTATGGGAGAAGTTATGGGTTAAGGGGCTACGTGGGGCAATGTTGTAGATATTAGAACCAATCACCACGAGACCTGGAAAAACTGGGTCTCGTTTATCCGGGTCTTGGGGACTTGGGACTGCAGCCAAAACATACCCACTTGACGTTGCCCTAGTACAGGTATAACCACTGGTTAGCAGCCCATGAGGTTTCCGACAGAGGGTGAACCAGCGACAATCAGGAAAGCCCTGGATGCACACATAGAGACAACTCTCGGTGCGGCCCAAGAGTGAGCGGGCCCTGTAAAGCTCGGGTGAAGCAAGGAGAGATCGAAAGCTCTTGGAGACGAGGGAGAGAGTGGGATAGTACAACCTTGAGACCCGGGCTAGGCAGTTGAATAGCAAATCATAGGGAAGTGACAGAATCGGGCTTGATTGCTGCGGAGTCGTAGTAGCGGTTGTCTTCCTCTTCTTTGCTGGGGACGGCGGCTTCTTCTTCTTCGTCGTAGCAGTTGTCTTCCTCTTCTTTGCCAGCTTCGGCGGCGTCGTAGCATTTGTCATCCTCTTTTTTTGTCTGGATTTCTTATACTTGGTCTCCAACTTGCACAGAGAAATGAAAACAAAATTCAGGGAAGAAGTTTAGGTTCAATATACAATTAAAGACGTAGCAAGCAAATGCGGATTCAACCCCAATCAATCCTATATATATATATATATATATCTTTGATTAACAATAAGACAGCTCCCAAATCAGACCAATTCAAGATGGATGTCACAGTAAGTGAAGAATCTCACAGAGATGCATCGGTAAATAATACTCACCAGAAGAGAGTCCGAGGATGAATCAAGTTCCTGTTGATTTCACTTCTTCTCCCCCAGTGAAACAATGGCTGGAAAGCCACTTTTGGGGAAATAAAATGCTGGAATGCCACCTTTGTATTTTTATTTTCTTTTACTATTTTTTTTTAAATCAAAATCAGAGGAAATACCCAAAAACCCTTTCAAAAGGTTAACAATTACTCTTCTCCTCTAGAGAGGCACTGAGAAGATCCGAGTCATCGACCGACCAAATCATCTCTCTTCTTCTTCTCCTCTAGAAGTTGGGCGGTGGAGACTTCCATTACCTACAAATATCAGATTCTTCTTTCCTTCGCTCGATTCCATTTCAAAATTTGTTCTTCTGGGTCTCTCTCTTCTCCTGTTACTCAAGAAGACGATTCTTGGGTTTGTCTAAAGTTTTGAGCTTTTTCTCTGTGGAGACTTCGATTACCTACATATATCAGATTCCTCGATTCAAAATCAAACTTTATTCTTGTGGGTCTCTTCTGCTATTGCTGAAGAAGAAGATTTGTGGGTTAGTTTAAAGTCTTAAGCTTTTTTTTTGGGTGTGTAAGCAAAATCAAATGGAGTGGGATAGTGATTCCGATCTCAGCGGGGGAGATGAAGTGGCGGAGGATGGATGGTTCGGCGGAGGTAACAGAGCGATTCCGTTTCCGGTAGGTAGTCTTCCTGGAACGGCGCCGTGTGGTTTTGTGGTCAGCGATGCTCTTGAACCTGATAACCCTATCATTTATGTTAACACTGTTTTTGAGATTGTTACTGGTTATCGAGCTGAGGAAGTTATTGGTCGAAATTGGTGAGTTTTCTCTTCTTGACTTTTACCTTAAATTTGTGGTGATGATTTTGTTACTGTAGCGAGTCTTTGTCTGTTTTGTGGTATTGGTACGATGTAACTAAGAGAGCTTGTTGAGAGCTATTTTGACAGAAAGCTTATGGTTCTTGTTGATTATATTGGCATATTGTTAGGTATTCTTAGTTGGGAAATGTCGAAATCATAGGATTTGAAATTGGTTATAGAGGAACAAGGCTATAATGTGAGAGTTAGATGTTAGTCTTTGTGATAAGACTTGGAACTTTCGTCTTTGTGATATGTTTTCTTCTCTCATGCATTGTTGAATTAGTATTTCTGATGTGTTTTCTTCTCTCATGCATTGTTAAACTGTTAATATCTTTGCTTCATCACACAAAATGTTATTGGAAATGCGTTCTGTCATATTATATGTCTGTTGAACTTATTCTTATCCTTGTAAAAGTCTTGTGTCCTTAAGGGGGAATGGATCGAAACATGGTTCTTGTATCTAGCATGATAATCATGTATCATCCATACATGCTGCTAATGCTGGTAATATCACTTTATACCATATGTGTTAGCATCTTTTACACTTTTTGTTTGTTTGTTTGCTCTAAGCTATGTTTGTTGCTTTTGTTTAGGTCTTGTAAATGCTTTAAACTTGATTAAGGATATCAAAGAAAAATACCCTAGGTCAATGATTCATAGGTTCTGATTTGTTTAGAAAGTATGAAATTTTTTAACGTGAATCTTTTGGTTATGAATCATATTGTATGCAATCGTTTATTTAGGTACAACTGGTATATTTAGGTACAACTACGTATAGGTACAACTGGTATATTTTGGTTTTGTAGTGTTGCTCTGTCAAAGATAGAGGATAAGTGGAAGGAAGAGCTTGATCAAGAACTGGAAAGAAAGCGCACAAGTCAAGTCTGCACGTACTTGTGGATTAAGATTGCACATGACTTATGTTTTGTATTTTTTTTGTATTTTTTTGTATTGTGGATTAAGAACATATGACTTCGTATTTTTGTAAACCAAAAAAATATTTAGATTAGATTTATGTTCAATTGGTTTTGTAGGTACAACTAGTCTATTTAGGTACAACTATGTGTATGGATTACTTATAAGAAAGTACAAATAGATCACTTTGGTACAACTGAGACAATTAAAAATAACATTTTAAAAAACAATTTTTAATAAATTTCAAAGAAGTAAAAAAAAAAAAATTATCCACGTAAGCATCATTTTGGCGGCGGGATATTATTTTTAATCCACGTAAGCATCATTTTGGCGGCGCGATATTATTTTTAAATCATCACACGTGTGGTAAATTGTTTTGTTTTAAACATAGTTGTACTAGTTGTCCAGTTGTACTCACATGTTCATAGTTGGACTTTGGCGATTTTTGCGTATTTTCAGTTGGACTTTAATAAAAATTAGTAATTTTAAGTTGGACATATGTTGTTACCCTATTAATTATCATCCAAGAAGTTTTCATAATACAATTCATACGAAATCATAATTTTCACCTATTTTGCATCAATAGAAGTGATCACCTACAAAGTGTTCCTTGTACTATAAGGAGTGTTTCATATGAAAACAATAGTATGCACTAGGAAATTGATAAATTCAAGTTTTATTTATTTAAAATTGTTTCTTTTTTAGTTCAACATGTTTTTGGAATCCTTGTTAACTCTAATTTATCGTTTTTCTTATTTGTTGAATACACATACGGATACATTTATGGTCTTAGTTGTACCTTGTCAAAACCTAATTATACCCAGTTGAACATAGTTGTATGAATACGACAAGTACATATACTGATACATATATGGTTATAGTTATAGTTTTAGCTGTACCCAGTATATTTATGGTCTTAGTTGTACTAGTCGGTCCTAGTTGTACCAGTCGAATCTAGTTGTACCCGGTCGAACATGGTTGTACGACAAATACAAATGATTTTTAGTCATCAAATATTCTTTTAATTAATATCATTTATCTTCCACAGGGGCAATGAATTTGGTTCTATTAATCACTGTTAGTGTTGCACAATAAAACAATAAACTAAAGACACCTTGAGAATCCTTAACCACAGAAAAAACTTCTATATAAATGTGCGAACATGAAGTCTACTTAAATTATTTTCTTAATTTTAGAAGAGAAAGCAAGAGAGCATGTCAAACAACTCTAGCACTAGCAGAACCTAGATCTACTTGCATAAGAACTCAAAAAAGTCATCAAAAACACTGTTATCAAACGACGAGAGTGGAGCTATGGCAGCCAAAACCTTTGCCTTTTCTTCCAACAATTGAGCTTCGAGGTCTGAACACTTTCGCTTCACCTTCTCCAAATGAGCTTCGAGCCTTGAACACTTCAACTTCAAATCCTTCAAAACAATACCATTTTCAGTATCAGCTTTTTAATTACACCAAAGACATAAACAAGCATTTGTCTTTATGGATATAAATAACCAAAAAATGTGTAGAATCTATCAAAAAACCTGATCTTTCTTTTGTTTTGGTTCTGGACTTAAGGCTTTCTTCACAGCTGAAAACCAACTTTTACCCATTTCTTAGTTTCTTCTTTTCAACGTATCTGCAAATACAAATCACAGAGGTATATATTGTTCAATTAAACCTAAGATTCATCTTTTAATCTGAAACCAGAGCTTTAGGAGAAACATTGATACATGAATACAAAATCAGAGCTTTAACTGGAATGTATAGAACTCACATATTAGAGAGCAACCAAAGTTTTTTTTTAAGGACAAAAAAACTCGGAGAAAAAACCAAACTTTTGAAGCCTTTGTCTGTAGATCAAAAACTCAGAATCTGAGAGAACAATAAATTCAGTTTTCAGAAATGCAATTAAAGACAAAGAAACACATAGGGATACTTGTGTAACTGACTAGTATACACGCGTACTTACACTTGGGAAGTGACAATTATTGAAACCCGGAAGAGAAATCCAAAGAATAATAAAAAAAAAATTCTAAGAACGACCAAAAGAAATGCAAAAGTTAGAGTCTTTGTTAGATTGAGAAACTAAGAAATAATCTCTTAGTTTCATCAATGGCAGAGGAGAGATGAGAACAAACCAATTGCAAGGATGAGACGCCGGAGACGGTGGGCGGCGAGATCGGCGAGGTGAGCTCTGGTTTGTTGGGAGGAGAGGATGCGAGCAAATTTTTTTTTGCTTTTTCTATTTCTTTTTGATTTTAATTTTTAATAGTTAATTAAATAAAAATATTCATAAGGACAAAATGGAAATAACACATACTAGAGTGGCATACAGACTCCAAAATGGCAGGCCAGATTAATATTTCCGGTTCGGTGGCAAACAAGCCTCTGTCTCTCCCCCAGTGCGGCCAAAAGGATAAACCTAATCCCTATTTATTTTTTAATTTCTAGCCGTCGGATTGAGTGGTAAGGAGGAGAGTCCGGTTTACCAAAATGTTGAGATTTTCCATTCCAACGATACCATTTTTTTTTTTTTTTTTTCTTTTTTTTAGAGGCATCAGACCCAAAGTTAGGTTGTGTCCAAATTGCAGGGCCCACCTTTCACTAGCCCAGAGCCCTGTTTTAAAAATCCCTGCCTAGCCCCGATTACTTCCCGATTACTCTCCGCTTAATCGCTAGGTCCATCCTCTCCGCCTCGATTAATGACTAATCCCCTAAAAATCAGTAACCCGATTATTCTCCGCCTAATCCGATTATTTTCCGCCTAATCCGATTATTTCCCGCCTAATCTTACATACGTTGATTATTTTTTAGATTGCAAGTATTAAAAAAACATTTTATTTTTGTTATTCAATCATTTGAATTGGGAGTTTGTGATGTTTTACATAACTTGTGTTCAAATTTTAATAAAAATCATAAAAATTTGTTTTTACTGTAATTTTGAAAACAATATTGAATTAATATATTTTAAAAATATTAAAATAACCCTAAAACTAATCTCCGATTAATCCCCGATTTTAATCCGATTTTCCGATTAATCGCTAGGCCCATGCCGAACGCCCGACTAGCGCCTAGCGATTTTTCAAACAAGGGCCCAGAGCAAGAAAGGTAGAACACAAAGCACTTGGAATGTCGGCAGGTGAATGCTGACTTAAACATTTTAATCATCCTTTGCCCCGCCGAAGTTCTATCATGCGACCCGTTGACCAAGTCAAGACTCGCGACCAAGCTGACTTGGAGCCCAAGTCTCGTAGCTTGGAGCCGAATTTTCAAGAAGTGGAGCCGAAGTTTAGTCCCTTGGAGCCGAAGTCTCTCCGTACACGTGTCGTCGTCACGTCCGCAGTACGTACGTGTCTGTCCGTATGGCTGACACGTGACATGCTGACTCGCCTGTTCCTTATGCCTATAAAAGCTCGACCACCCTCGAGTTATTTGGAGAGAAATGAGGAGAAAAATGCGGAGATGCTGCTGCGAAGTCGAGAGAAATGACCGAGATCCGTTATCGAGAAATCTGATCCGCCGGATGCTGCTGTGATCGAGAAATCCGTGACGATCCACGTCTGTGATCGAGAATCCGTCTGGTGATCGAGAAATCTGTCTGGTGATCGAGAAATCTCTGCGGATGATCGAGAAATATCTGCGGGTGATCGAAGAACGTTATCTGTGATCGAGAAATCTGATCCGACGGAGAATCCGTTTTTCTCTGAATCATTCCCATGATCTAGTTATCATCTTGATACTATTTCTAAGGGTTGATTATGAGTTAAGCTTGAAGAATCAAGATGGGAACTACGAAGAGGTGTTGAATCCGTGGAGTTGAGTGGAGTCAAGAACAAGATGGAGAAGTCGTGGGATGTTGAAGATCGTTGAAGCGAACCTTAAACCTTCAGCCGATCAGCAAATGATACTCAAGAAGCGTGAAGTCCAGCTAGTCAAGGTTCAGTGTTCAAGAGGAGTCTTTTGAGACAAAGTAGTAGTTGTAGTATACTTTGGGAGCAGCCCTAGTATACTTATGTAAGTGCGATGGATATGAAGAAATGCCGGAGATGAAGAAGCTTTCCTAATCACTCCAACTTTCATGTTGCCATTGATTCAAGGATCGCTAAGGATGGAGGAGTTTCATGGTGTAAAGCGTTGAAGAAGTAAGATGATTGTGGAAGGATTACCTCCACCTTGGAGTAATCCATTACCATCAAGATTGAGAAAGAAAGTTGCCGTCAGCCGATATACTGCAAAAAGCAATGCGGTCAAACGAAAATCAGAGGATGGAGAAGTACCAACGGTTTATCAAGCCGTTATTTATGGGAAACGAAGTAGGTGTAAAAGATGAAAAAGAGAAGAAGGAGAAGAGGAAGTTTATCAAAGTGGATCGTTGAGAAGCATTAGAATTCGAGGACGAATTCTTATAAGGTATGTAGAATGTAGTGACCCTCATTCTAGGGTAAATGGCCGTGCAAGGATTGATCAAGGAAAGATCACAAAGAACTTAGAAAGAATAGTAAAGAAGATTGGACGAGACAAAAGGAAGTTGGGTCCAGAGAAAATCGATCCGTACGTATCCACACGTACCCGGACGTACCCGCATGACAGCCAACCGTACCGCGGGACGTACCGAAAGGTACCTATCGATCGTTTGTGTGATTCTGTATCAAAGTTGTCGTACTGAATTGAGTCTTTGCCGAACGAAATCGAATATCATGACGTTTGGATGAGGATGGTACGAGGAAATATTGCTCCGGGTGAGAGATGATCAAGAAGCCCTGTACCGCGACTGTACCGCGAGATAACCTATCGACCATCGGATCATTCTGTAACATGATAGGTTTATTTATTAGTTTAGTTTATTGATTGGTGAGTCTTGAAGCATGTGTTATGGGCCTTATGGCACATGATAGGTTTATTTGGTAGTTTAGTTTATTGATTGGTGAGTCTTGAAGCATGTGTTATGGCACATGTTAGGTTAGGTTAGGTTGATTGATTAGTTCGTTTAGTTGATTGATTGCTAAGTCTCGGTGATGTGCTTAGGCGTATCATCGAGCAATTGCTTGATTGTGTGCGTCTAGGTGTGAGGTTGCATGCTAGATTCTAGTTTTATCCTTAGTTGATTAACTTGAATTTATATGCTTATGTTTGATTAAATATGGTACCGAATCATGTACTTGTGATCCTCGTGGTCCTTACATAAATGATTCCGTACTTGTGTGTTGCATTCTTAGTATGTGGTACTCATGACTTATTGTCCGGTGCCTTAAGCATATTAAGATTAGGGGTATGTCTGTCCTTCCTCGGCGGCATGTCAAGTAAGCCTTGATCCTTAGCTAGTCACTTACACAAAATTGACATAAGACTCGGGACCATGGCCGGGTACTGCATGACGATGCATAGTTTTTATGGTGTCTCTTATTGTCATCCTTTGTGGGTTCAACTTACGACGAAGTGATGTTCCGGTTATATGCCTTTAATGGTTATAGCTCGGGTGTTCACAGGAATGGAAGGCAGCATATCAGGGCCCATAGGAGTCGTCTAGATAGTTGGTGTTGCATGCATAATTTTATTATCTCGTTACACGGACTTGTTTCGTGTAAGCATGCATCTTGATTGTTTTATTTGTTGTTTGCTTCCGCGTGCATTCTCTGATTTGTTTATTGTTTATGCTTGATGTTATTGTTGGGGTTTGGGTTGGAAATGTATTTTGTTGCAGGGAACCCGAGCTCACTAAGTAATCATAGAATTACTTATGACTCCATTTTGTTTTGCAGGAAACCTTAGTGGGAACCATTAGAGGGATGCTCAGGACGTAGGAAAGCCGGTATAGAGTTGTTGCTTTTGTAAAACTTAGTGATTTTTATTATTATGTCGATTTGAGCATGTAGGCTCACGGCGCCAATTGTTAATGTTGTTTTAGATATTTGTTGTACCAAAATTTATATGATATAAAAGAGTATTTTCATATAAAGTGTGTGTTTTATCCGATATTAGTCTTGTCCGGACTAACACAACTCGCGATCACGGTAAGGGTTGAAAAGCCTAAACCGCGGTCGTGAGGGATGGTTCGCGCGGATGGTCCGGCTAAGGGTCTGAATTCGTTTGGAACCTCTGCTGGATTGTCTGTGCGAGCTGTCTACGTGACGTTTCCGGGTCGCCCGTGGCTTGTCCGGTCCGGCTTAAAAAAAAATCCCGGCGTTTGGCTTATTCTTTTTTTTTTTTTTGTCAATAGCTTAAATAAAATGGATGCTCAAAAGAGCCATTACTGGGGAATGTTGTTTACATAAGTGATATGATGCGGTTCGGTACGAATTTTTTGTGCCAAATTATCCGCTTTTACATTTGCGCTACGCGGAATTAAAGATAAAGAAAAATTAGAGAATTCTTCCTCGTCACTCTTCAAATCTTCCAAATACACTGAGAAGGCCGGCCATTCGGTTGGGGAAGACACCATCTTCACCAAATCTGAACAGTCTGTAAAGAAAGCTACATCTTGGTTGTCAGCACCAATCATACACTTCATCGCCCAGAGTAGAGCTTCGACTTCTGTATGTAGGGGGGATAGACTTCGCCGGATGTTTGCAGCTCCCATGGTTGGCATCTCTCCATTTGCCGATGTACAGTACCACCCTGTTCCTGAAAAAATATCTGTCCTTTTCCATGATCCATCCACGAAACACCGATGTCCGGAGTAACTCGAATCCAATGAAATCTCTCTCACGCGATTTCGAGTTACAGTATCTAAAGAACCTTGGTTGTCAATATGTAGCTCAGATTGAGCAACCTGTCAAGCTTGTGCCTCTTTCTCCGCTAAATGTAGAACCTCTAATGGGTCTTTATCCACATTATCAAAAATCTTCTCGTTTCTCGCTTTCCAAATATACCAAATTATCCATGAAAATTAAGATGAATCAATCTCTGATGGAATTCTCCAGAAAAGATGATCCAAGTTCGCGTAAATAGAAGCCGAGGGAAAAATCCCTGTAACCGAAGGGATGGGAGAAAGAGCCCAGATTTGTCTTGTAGGATGACATTCAAAAAGTGTGTGATTAATTGTTTCCTCCGCAGCGCCACATCTAACACATCCGGTGTCACAATTTATACCTCTCTTTCTCAGATTCTCTGTAACAGGTACGCAACCTGATAATATTTGCCACAAAAAATGTCGTAGCTTTGGTGGACACTTCACCTTCCATGCATAAGCTTTCAGAGATTTGATATCCGGGCCAAAAAATTTAAGGTTAGCATCAGAAGTCTCTATCCGTGCGGTATGGTAACCCGATTTAACCGTATAATTGCCTGACTTTGTGAAATGCCAACCAAGGGTATCCGCCTTAGTTGAGACACCCAAAGGCAAAACACTAATCAGCGCGACATCCTCTGGATCAAAAAGCTCCGCCAAGAGATTCATATTCCAAAAGTTTGACCGGCTGTCGATAAGTTGATTAACTTTTAAAGATGGATCAGTAATTGAACCATTACTTTTTGCTGGTCTTGGGAATTGAGCTGGTATCCATGAGTCCTCCCATACTGAGATGGACGCCCCAGAATCAACTCTTTTAATAAGTCCTTTAAGAACCAGAGATCTAGCTGACATTATACTTCTCCAACCATAAGAAGGAGAGTACGATTTTATATTATCCAATGGATTGGATTTCCGGAAATACCGTCCTTTAAATACCCTTGCAAATAGTGACTCAGGAACCATAATCAAACGCCATAATTGTTTAGCCAGTAACGCTGAATTAAAATCATCCACGTTCCGAAATCCCACCCCACCTTCCGATTTACTACTACAAAGTTTATCCCAAGCCATCCAATGCATTCCCCTCGATTCACCGTTTGAGCTCCACCAAAATTTTGTGACCGCACTCGTAAGTTTAGAAGTTATTGATTTTGGTAGTCTGAAGCATGACATAACATATGTTGGTAATGCCGCAGCTACCGATTTAATCATAACTTCTTTTCCGCCTTTCGATAAAAACTTAGCCGACCAACCATTTATCCTAACCTGAAGTCTATCTCGAACAAAGGAGAAAATCTTTGTCTTAGATCCACCCAGGCTTTCCGGTAGACCAAGATAAGATCCCATGCCACCAAGATTGTGGATACCCAGAACCGCTTTTATTTCTTCCTTAATAGACTCATCAACTTTGTAGCCAAACTGAAGAGATGATTTTGAAAAATTAATTTGTTGCCCTGAAACCGCTTCATATTGTTTTATAATTCCCAAAATTACCCCGCATTGTGCTTTATTGGCTTTGCAAAAGAACAAACTATCATCAGCAAATAAGAGATGAGATACCGACGGGCTAGCTGTGGATACCTTGATACCTGTAATCAAGTTTTCACGTTCCGCTTTCTTAATATTCGCAATGAGTACCTCCGTACAGAGGATGAATAAGTAAGGAGATAAAAGATCTCCTTGTCTAAGTCCCCTCTCTGGAATTATTAGCCCTTTTGGTTGTCCATTAAGTAAGACCCTATATTGGACTGTTGTGATACACCACATCATCCACGAAATCCATTTTTCGCAAAAACCCATCTTCCTTAATAATTCTTCTATGAAACTCCATTCAACCCGATCGTAAGCTTTACTCATATCCGTCTTAATAGCCATAAATTTTCCTTTGCATGATTTTGGCTTATTCTTTTTCCCTTTCTTTTTTGGATAAATTTAATAATTTATCATTCGTTTTATTAAAGCATTTTATCAATTAGAATTATGAAATTATGAAATTACAATTTTACAATTTCATTTAGTTATTACGGAAAACTAACATTATAATCTTACGGAAATTAGATGAAGAAAGAGAACGGATCACAAATAATTATTTCGACTAAGTACATATCTAAACCAAACTTGGTTTAGACGAACGAAAAAATCCCAAGATATTCACCTACCCTCTCCTGCCCCAATATAATAATTTTTGATCTCCAAACACTTTGGTAAGAATGCATTAAAGCCAGAAATCAAATCTCGATGTCCTTTAAGCAGTTGTTCCACCTCTTTTATGCAACCATCCCTATCAATTCTACAATAAGATTATAAATCTTTAATTATCTTTTTTTTTAACAATAGTGTTAACCCAATAAAGATTGAACTAAAAATAAAACCAAACATTTTTCTTCACATATTTGGTAAAAACTATATTTACACATACCTTCGAGCTTTAAAATTATTCATGACAGTAACAAAGTCATCATATTTTTTCCTATCATTATGAAATTTAGCCCTCACAGCCCTAAGATATGCATACGCATCATCTATTTTTGCCTTCGGTTTACTTCCTTCTCCAACATGTTTACTTCCTCCTCCCACCATGGTTCAAAGTTGGTCAAATTAATCACAATTACTAGAACTGAAAAGTACATGCAATGAACCATGCACTATGCATATTGCAAAGCATGAGAACATGATAACACTAAACTTTAGATTGATTAAAAAAAACAATCAAATAAGAATTGTAAAAAGAGTTCAAAGTAACAAACCAGAAAATTTACTACGGGTACAAGCTTCACCACTAGAACTTGAATGGTTTTGAGTTGTATGGGTGTCTTTATATATAAAAAAAAACTTTGACAAAATTAGACCTGTTGCAATTAACATAAGTGTAGCAATGAGATACAATTGTATCATAATATTAAATGAAATAAACACATATTAGTGGTAAATAAAATTTCACATTAATTATCATTTACAGATTTATATGTAAATTTAATTATACAGATTTTTATGTAAATTTAGTAATAAAAAATTTAAATTGTAAAACTTTACCAACATCTGTGAAAGGTTATTTATTACTTTAACTTTTCCAAGAGTTTAAATCACTTTTGTTACAATGTGGCGTATATAATTACAATTTTAAAAAAAAAAAGACTTTAAGTTATATGGTTGATATAAAAAATTAGACAACAAGTCAAAATATTAATGTCCTAGATCTTAAAATAACAGATATATATATCTAGTAAATTTTACTTTCTTAGTTTTTGTCAAATTTTACTTTCTTTATTTTTCATCAACAAATACTCGTAAATTTACTTTATAATGTTGTTCAAAATAAAGAAAATACACTATCATTTGTTTTAACTGTTAAAGTTTTAGTTATTAAGATGTAAATATTTTCAATATTTAGTTCTTAGGATTTGTCGAGATTTAGATTTTACTCCTAAAACATCAAATAAAAAAATAACGGAAGGAGTAGTAGAATTGTAATCGGAAATTTTTATACTTATTTGTTTCAAATAATTTTAGTTTATTGATATTCTTTGGCAATAAGCCTACATCAGATTTTAAATTCAATCGAATATAACTATATCAATATGTCCTATAATTTGGTCCCATTTTTTTTATTCTGAACAAAATGTCAAAGTTAACTTAAAAGACTTACATTATTTTGGGACTTAAAAGAGAAAAATACTAATGTTTTGATAAATGACATGGTTACAGCTTGGTTTCTACGTTCTTTGCTTACGTAATGAAATAAAAAAGGTGAACGATCTGTGTCTCCCCACGAAGTTTCATATAGTATCATAACAACACAGATTTTGGGTCTCGTCTCTAGTCCACACAAAACTAAAGTTAAATTCCAGTTTCCCCCTAAATTGAAAGTTCGAGACCTCAGTCTCCATAAATTCAAATTTCGTGGTTTATCTTCGGTTTACTGTGCCAAAAACCAAATTAACCGCTTAACATCGAAATTAAACCGGATTTACCCAGAAACCAACCCGATTAGTTGACCCATTAACCCCGATATTTCCCCAAATCGTGAAACCTCCCACCACCTACTCAAGTGGCAAATTTCATCAAGACTCAAACTTCGATCGATAGCGTCAAGATCTTCGATGTGAATCCCGATATCCTCCGTGCTTTTGCTGGAACTGGTATCTCCGTCGTCGTTACCGTTCCTAACGGTGATATTCCGGCGTTAACTAACGGAAGACAAGCTCGTCGGTGGGTTTCAGCTAACATTTTGCCGTTTCATCCTCAGACGAAGATTAAGTATATCTCTGTCGGGAATGAGATTTTGCTCACCGGAGATAATAACATGATTAACAATCTCTTACCGGCGATGAGGAATCTTAACAATGCTTTGGTTCGTGCTGGTGTCAGAGATGTTAAGGTCAGCTTTCTCTCTTCTTCTTTTTTTTTGCTTTTTTTCCAGATTTTTCTATTTTAAGGAATTAGTATAACAAATTAACAGTTTGGTTTTGGATTGGTAAATAAATAAAATTAAAACAAAGTTGGATGTCATTATTTTACAAATTTCAGATAAAGTTTGAAATCTCTACTTTGAATCTTCGAGATTTGGGGGTTTCACGATTTGGGGAAATATCGGGGTTAATGGGTCAACTAATCGGGTTGGTTTCAGGGTAAATCCGGTTTAATTTCGATGTTAAGCGGTTAATTTGGTTTTCGGCACAGTAAACCGAAGATAAACCACGAAATTTGAATTTATGGAGACTGAGGTCTCGAATTTTCAATTTAGGGGAAAACTGAAGTTTAAATTTAGTTTTGTGTGGACTGGAGACGAGACCCGAAATCTGTGTTGTTATGGTACTATATGAAACTTCATGGGGGGACACAGGTCGTTCACCCAAATAAAAACAAATCGACACATAACTTTTAGGATTACTGTTTAGTTTTTAGGATTTCGAGTTCAGTTGTAATACTTTGACTTTTAATCACTGAATCTAATTGACACGATGTTCTGGGTAAAAAGCAGGAGGGGCGTATGGGGTGTGCTTGTGGAGCAAATGTACCGGACCAAAAATATTTTGGATAAATTTAAGAGTCCAAATTTTTTTTTTTAAATTAGAAAAAAGATAATTTTAAAAACTTTAAAATAATTTTAACATGAAAAAGGCCCAAATATTTTTTATAGTATGAAAAAGCTAATTTTAAAGATTTTTTTAACATGAAAAAGGTCCATTTTTTTATTTTTGTATGAAGAAAAGGACCAACTTTTAAAATTTGTACATGAACTCTAAATTAATTGAGCCGGCCTTGGTAAAAAGGAAACATATAATTAAAAAACATATGTGATATGTACATGCCAAAAGAATCGAACTGCATGCACTCAAACGTCTATTTAAAGAAAGTTCATATACTTTTTTTTTGGTGAAATGTGAAATTAATTGATGAGAAAAGGGTTATTTACAACAAAATGAACGGTTAAAGCCAAGTAGCCAACAAAGAAAGTGAGCAAATATTGGAATAAAAAACAGAGCGGAAGCTTCTAATGAGTAGGTCTTGAGCTAAACCACCTTTGGATCAACCCTCGTAGCTCTGTTTACATTTTCTTCTCCTTATAAAAGTGTTAGAGATCTTGATGCTAGAAGATTATTTTCTCATGTTAAAGTATCTGAAAAACTTGTCGATCAAATCTTCATGATAATAGAGAAGATCAACGACCTGCAAGATATATTATAACCAGTCGATTGGAATTGAGAAAATTATGTCCCTATTTCCCTCTCCCCTTATTACGCTTGCTTGGACCAACAAAAAAAAACAAGTGAAAGGACAACGCAAAATAGCCCACAAAGAATCTACCTCCTCTTGCACCTCCTTTTCCGATTTTTTTCCTTCGTTATGCATTATCATTATCTTGAGAAATGACTCAACTACATGAGTATCAAGGCTCCGAAACCTTGTCTGCAAAAGAGGATATATTAAAATGGTAGTTATTTTAGGATTAGTTAACCATTTTAGCATTCTATACCTTAAGCATGTTCATAAAATTTTCCCAATCATGCTCAATACGTTTTCTTATGGTATATTTAGACTTAGCACCACGATGCTCAGCCTCGGGAGGGTTGGTTGCCTCAGCCTTGAGAATGATGGTTCTATTAGCCTCATGATGGATGGTATTGTTAGCCTTGGGAGAGATGGATCTCTTAACCTGTGGAAAGAAGAAACTTAAACCACGAAGCAGCCTCGGGTGCCCTTTAATGAGTTCAGTCATATTTGAAAGGCCAGTAGCTTTATCAACACTACAATGAGAATAATAACATCAGAAAACAAATTCACAATGTGTGTTTTGTTGTGTACATGGAAGGGAGAAAACAATTCTTACGTATGATCACGAATATCAATCATGAGTTTAATAAACTCTTCATATTTTGTAGGTTCATCATGAAAGGCTTCCTTCACAGCAGTGATATATGAATGCGCATCACTAAGACTTGGCTCCACTTGAACTCTTCTTTCAACCATGGTTTGAAATTGACTAAACCCCTTTGGTATCTAAAGAAAGAGAATTTTTGTTGATTACTACTTTTCCTTTTTAAATGACTTTAGATACAAATCTCATTCCTCAAGTTTTATAGCATCTCAAAATATAATTACGATTTGGATTTTCTCAACATTTTGGATCCTTGAAAAATCCATAAGCCATATTAATTTGCTCTTCCAAAGGACCACATGACATGGCACATAAACTACACATGTGAAGCATTCAATTCAAACAGAGCAAACCAATGTAAACACTAGATTAGAGGTCTTAGTCTCATTCTCAACTAAAAGAAAAATGAAGATCAGATGCGTACAGTTACCAAATTTTGGAGAAGAAGAAGAAGGCTTCCTGAACAATCGTCTCCCTAGCACCTCACGATAACGAAGCAAGAGATAAAACTATAACGTGCGACGAAGGGTTTGTTATATATAGTATAGTAGTTGATATTATTTGATATTTGTATCAATCCATATCTTTCTTAGTTTAGATTTTCCCGCGTCGAAGATCACGTACGTGTATATTATTATTATGGGTATCAAACATAAAATGTTTTGGTAATGTGTGGAAAACTAAAATTTAAAAGCTTTTGTATACTAAAAAAAATGACGAGGATAATAATTTATTTAATGAAAAATATATTTTATGATTAATATTTAGTCCAATCCAATTGAGAAGATTAATGCACACTGTATTTTTCTTAATTTCTGTATTTTTTTATTTGTTAGTTTTCTAACGTTTTCCGTATACATTTTCTGAAAATGGTAACCATATGGGTCATCAGGTTTAGCCCAAAACAAAACTAATTATCTAATTTAAGTTCGTTTAAACGGTTTTTAACTATCAAAACATGGGTAATACTGTTCATCGATTTTTAATCATTGAACCTAATAGCAGAACGAAAGCATATGTGCATCAGAGCATGTCATAAGAATCGAAAAGAACTCAAACCTATACAAATAGAAACTATACACTACTCTCTTCTCCTTTGAACAATATATTTCATACTTCGTTGTAGTTTATTATCTTAATTTTCTTTTTGTTGGAAACGCTGTTGTTTGAGTAGTAGCTATGATAACTTTGTTGAATTAGACGAGTAACGAGTTGAGAGGAGGTAGATATATTATATATAAAAAAAAGTTAGAAACAACAAATATCTTAGAACCATATTCATAAGCCTATAATGGCTAAATCCAACACACGATTCCTAAATGAAGAAAAATAACAAAATCACACGCAGATTTGACTAAGAAGAGTATGATGAACGAGACATCACCTACCCTCTAAGTTGTACCAATCCGCGATCTCCAAACACTTTGGCAAAAATGCATTGAAACCAGAGATCAAGTCTCGATGTCCTTTAAGCAGATCCTTTACCTCTTCTATGCAAGCATTCCTTGTAAAGATTAGAGATTTAGGAAGGAAAGATTGAGTAATCCATGTTTTAGAGAGAAAGAGAGAATTGTATAGATAGAGAACAAGTGTTAAGAACTTTACAATGGTGGCTACAACCTTTATATATAAAAGAGATTAGGTTAAAATGACATAGAGTCGACTGGCCGGTCTTAGCCAGGCGGGTGTCCCAGACAGGCGGGTTTATACTTGTCCCTGCCAGTTTGGATCTCTTTGCCTAGCCAGGCGGGTGTCTCAGACCGGCGGTTTCTCAATATAAGTAACTTGTGTTTAATATCTAACTATTGATTTAGTTAGTATTAAACACCTTCTTGATTAACACTCCCCCTCAAGTTTATACTACAATATTCATTGGTATAAACTTGACACTTATGCTAGTAACCTCATTAATTAAAAACCTAAGATCGGAAAACCACGTGGGACAAAACCGATATTAGGGAAAAAGAGTATTACTGACATAAGTGGAGAGGTATCTCAAGGATCTGTGAGGTCTACAAGACCAAGTTTTCCATGAATGAATTGGCAAACTTGGTTGCTTGCTGCCTTGGTAAAGATGTCGGCCAGTTGGTCCAAACTCTTAGTGTAACAAGAGAGAATTGTACCGTCTTCGATCTTCTCTCTTGTCTTGTGGCAGTCCGTCTCTATATGCTTGGTCCTCTCGTGGAACATGGGGTTAGTAGCAATATGGATGGCTGCTTGATTGTCACAATTGAAAGTGATTGGCGTCTTTTGCTCGATCCCAAAGTCTTTTAGTAGAGCCTTTAGCCATGTTAACTCATTAGTGAGCTTCTTCATAGCCCTATACTCCGCTTCAGCACTCGAACAGGACACCACCTTCTGTTTCTTTGTCTTCCAAGTCACGAGATTCCCACCAATGAATGTGCAAAATCCAGTTGTTGATTGTCTTGTATTGCGATCTCCATTATAATCCGCATCACAATATCCAACAATCTCCGTGCTTGAGTTTCTTCCCATCTAAATGCCTTTGCCGGGACTCCCTTTGATATCTCAGAATCCTCTCCACCAAACTCCAATGGTACACCGTAGGGGCTTGCATATGTTGAGCCACCTGATTCACGGCAAAAGAGAGATCAGGCCAAGTATATGTCAAATATATGAGCTTACCTACAAGTCTTCTATACTGTTCCGGGCAATGATATGGAGTATCATCCTTCTCCCCCTTTCGATTGACCTTGTATCCTTGCTCTAGTGGTGTATCCACCGGTTTAGCTCCAAGTTTCCCTGTAAGTTTTAGTAGATCGAGGGCGTATTTCCTTTGTGAGAGAAACAGTCCCTCCTTGGATCTACACACCTCAATCCCTAAGAAATACTTCAACACACCCAAATCTTTAATATCAAAGGCTGAGTGTAAAGAAGACTTAATAGCTTGGATCCCTTCTTTGTTACTTCCCGAGATAATCAAGTCATCAACATAGACCAATACCACTATTATGCCTTGATTATCTTGCTTAGTAAACAAAGTATGATCCGAATGTGACTTCTTGAAGCCATTAGCCAATAGAGTGGAGCTTAGCTTGTGATACCAAGCTCTTGGAGACTGTTTGAGACCATAGATTGCTTTCCGAAGCCTTAAGACCTTTCCCGGAGCCACTATGTCTTCTAAACCCGGAGGAGGAGACATGTAGACTTCTTCTTCCAACTCCCCCTGAAGGAAAGCATTCTTGACATCCATTTGCCACAACTTCCAATCCAAATTAACCGCCAAAGATAGAACAACCTTCACCGTGTGTTGCTTAGCTACCGGAGCAAACGTTTCCCTATAATCATCACCATAGGTTTGTGTGAACCCTCTTGCAACCAGCCTAGCCTTATATATTTCAATTTCACCATCACTCTTGTACTTAATGGTGAATACCCATTTTGAGCTAACATACTTCTTTCCTGTTGGTAGCTCTTCTTCATCCCATGTATGGTTCCTTATCATAGCTTGTACTTCATCATCTACCGCATTCGTCTACTCCTTTCTTTCCTTGGCTTCCTCATAGTTTTGTGGGATAAACTCCACATCTAGCTTGCTAAGAAACGCCTTATGTTCTTCGGGAAGAAGGTCAATCGAACATGTAGCTTGAATAGGATGAGCCACACCTTGACAATTGTAGAGGCACTTCTTCGATTTCCTTTCTCTTGTACCCCTTCTTGGATTCTCCCGAGTGTAGATTGGATCTTGTGTGACTTGTGGAGCTTGATAAGTCTCATCTTCGCTTGATGATTCAACAATTTCACCTTCACTAGATGGATCTTTCTCTACCACTTCTTCACTTGATCCTTCTTCTCTACCCGAAAGTGCGTCTCTACCACTTTTTTGTTCAATATCCAACGGCTCTTGTGTTGCATTCCCACCACTTTCTTGAGCTTGAGCTTCATTGGTATCCACATTTGGTGTAGCTTCTGCATCTTCTTGTGAGGGACTAACATTACCCAAATGTTCTAGAATATGTCGGAGACTCTTAGCTCGATCTGAAGTTGAATTCGGCAAGTCTTTCACACTTTCCCAACTCTTTTCTCCAAAGTAAGCCTTGTCTTCCATGAATTTGACGTCCCTAGACACGTGATACCGATTGTTGACTGGATCAAAGCACTTATAACCTTTCTGAGTTGTTGAGTATCCGATGAATACACACTTAGTGCTCTTGGGTTCCAGCTTGTTTCTCAAGTCACCTGGGACAAACACAAAGCAAAGACTTCCAAATACCCTTAAATGATCAATGTTAGGATTCTGTCTATTCAAAATTTGAAAAGGAGATTGATCATTAAGGATACGGGTTGGTGTCCGGTTGATGAGATAACACGCCGTCATAACCGCATCTCCCCAAAACCGTTTTGGCATATGCTTCTGGAACAACATAGCTCTTGACACCTCCATTAGATGTCTATTCTTTCTCTCCGCAACTCCATTTTGTTGAGGGTTGTATGGGCAGCTTGTTTGATGTAGGATTCCACATTTCTCTAAATGTTCTTTGAACTTGGTGCTTGTATATTCCCCTCCATTATCTGTTCTTAGGATTTTAATCTTGGCATCAAAATGATTAGTCACATAATTTTGAAAGTTTAAGAATACATCATAAACCCTATCCTTAGATGGAAGCAAAGTTATCCAAGTATACTTAGACTTCTCATCTATAAATGTGACAAAATACTTATGATTATCTCTATATTCACAAGGTGAAGTCCAAACATCAGAATGCACAAGGTCAAAGCATTTTTCATAAATGGTATTGGATTTGGGAAAAACTACTTTGCAATGTTTACCTAAAATGCATGCTTCACAGTTTGAACAGTCATATGAAAATCCAGGTAATAACAGATTCAAAGCCCGAGAATGTGGATGGCCAAGTCTCTCATGCCATAATACAACCGATGTTTTAACAGAGTTTGCAAAGATAGAAGAGGAAACATTATTATTCAAGACAGAATTTAAAGATAAGTGTTCAAGCACATATAAGTCATCCTTGGTGCTCCCTTGACCGAACACCTTACCACTCTCAATACCTTGCAGCTTAACGTCATTAGGACTGAATATAGCTAAGCAATTTAAGTCCTTAGTCGTTTTCTTAACCGAGAGTAAATTCGAGGTAAACTTAGGCATATAGAAAGCACTAGATCTCTTGTTAAACAGATTAATGCATCCTATACCTTCTATTGAAACATTGTGACCATTTGCAACCTTAACATTCCCTAGTGCCGGTTTAATGTTCTCTAACAACTTAGGATTGCTAATCATATGGTGAGAAGCTCCTGAGTCTAACACTAATGAATTTGAATCATGAGAGTTAGAGGTTAAGAGAGAGATACCGCCGGGATGTAACTTGGATGCAATGGATTGAAGGAGGCTCTCGAGGTCAGATTTGTTCATGACAATGGTCTCTTGCGCTTGAGAAGTGGAGGCACCACCCTGGTTGTGTGTGACTGCTTGCATTGCCTTCTCTTGCTGTTCATATTGCAAAATTGCCCTTTCTTCATTTTCTGACCCGCCATCGCCTCCATTAGCCACGTTTGCCTTTGGCTTGTAGTTCTTGAACTTCTCTGGTTTTAGATGAGGATGTAGCAACCAGCATTTGTCTTTTAGGTGGCCCTTCTTCTTACAATGGTCACAAAACCATGTCTTCTTATCCTCTTGTCTAACCACTCCCACTTTGTTAGCCGTAGGTAGACTTACACCTTTAGCACCGAATAGCATTTGGGAGCTGTACTCCTTTTGAATCTTGGCACACACTTGCTCTAAGGTAGGTGTCTTCTCGTCTCTTAGGATGTGTTGGATCACATCCGTGT